TGCCTCTGACGGGCACCTCGGCGGGAGCAGCGTCTGGCAGCCCTCCCACCCAGCCTGGCCCTGCTCTCCCAGCCTCCTCTGCCACCTGCTGCTGGCCCCTGTGCTGGATCATGCCGCCTTTGCTGTCCGCACAGCAAATGTCTCACAGGGCCCTTCAGTGCAATCTCTAGGGTGCACTCTGGGGAAATTCCTACCTGCCGTGGAAAAACCAGAAAACTGAAACTGATCATATTCCACCAATATTCATGGGGAATTTGGCCACTAATTCTGAACAGAACTGAGCTGAATAGGATGCATACATAATGTATTCAGGGTATAATTTTCTTTCCATACTACCCTGCATCTCATGAGGCTTCCCCCTTCTCACTTCAGAAATACTTCTCATTAGCTGAATTCTTCTTGGTAGTCTTTCAAGACACTTGACTTTTGCAAGTGATAATAAATGCAATAAATCTCCTTGCTTGCCAATAAAGAGGCATGTTGATTCACTCAGAAAAATGTCTGAAGCATTTGGAGTAAGTTCAGGTGGGTGGAGTTATGACTTGATAATTTAGTTTGGGTTTGAAACCAAACGGCCATGAGATAAGAACGGTGTAAACTAATGGTCTTGCTGGCTCCTGGAGTGTTAGGGCTGTTGGAGTCACAGGGCAGGATTGCCAGTGGGTAATGATGGTACTCTGCTGCCTCATAGGTATTCTTCCCATTCTGCAATTCAGCTGCTGGTGTGTCTTCTTGGAAATATGCAAGAATGTGAAATAGCAGTTCACTGGGTAGGGGAGGGAAAGCTATCGGCAAAAGAAGTCTTAGCTAGTTATGACAGGAATTTCTAGTTCCAGAGAATCAATGAAATGCTTCTTATCCCTGCACTTTGAGAATGAGGTGCTTGCCACTTTTATCTAAAACTGGGAATTTCGTGAGTGTTAAATAGATTAAAGGAGGTAACCCATCCATTGGGAAACAATGAAGAATTCCCTAAAGGTCTTGAGGCAGCTGTTCCAACTTTTCTAAATAAAACAGCTAAAATGTTTTCCTTCCTAGCTTAGTGACAATTTCTGTGTCCAGGGGGGACTGCACTGGGAAGGATACCTGTATTTCTGACTTAAGTTTATGTTGTGTATACATTTCTACAGCAGGCATTTTCTATAGTGAAAGGAGAATTTATTTTATAGTATGCTAAATCTTCAAGCGTTGTTTACCCAGAGTGGAAAATGTTTGATTTTGGACCGGCTATGAAACAGTTCCATGTACTTGTTTTTCTGGTAGACAGCCATGCTTTAATTTTGTGCTGCAAATCACTGAAGCTACTTGAGATCTGGCATGTAATGTATAGTAGACTGTACGTTCAGCTAGTGCTGTCTAGACTGGACAACTTCTTTATTTTTAAATCAAGTTAGTTCTCTTCAATTAATTCAACTGATGGCAAGGAGTTTTTTACTCAAGTTAATACTAGATATGTCAGGGTATGATAGCAAAGGAGAAAATGCACCATATTTCCTAATCGAGTCAAGCCTTCTTTTAAAGCAGATTTCCTTCAGGAAATATCCCCCCTCTTCCGTCGGCAGTAACTGCAGATTCCTGCAGCACGGTTCTGTACGGTGCACCGCACAGCACGGCAGTGGCCGGAGTCAGCAGCAGAGCGGCCGGGCGGGATCCGCGCCGGTCGCTGCCCGCGCACCCCGCAGGGCCCGGCTCCGGCTGGCACAGCGGGGCAGGTGCCTGGCTCCGGCCGGGCTCGTGTGCGCCGCCGGGCCGCGGCTTCGCCCGTGTTCGGCAGGGATTACCTGCCCACCGGGAGGGTGTTCCGAGATGCCTCCCCCGCTCCTCTTGCGGGAGAGGCAGAAGCAGGGCTCCGCTATGCTAAGCCGTGGGCTCCTGGGGCTCGTCGGTGCCTCCAGTGTACACCGCGTTTCAGCCGGGGTCGGCCTGGCCGGGCGGGGGGAAAGGAGACTCGCACAAGTGGGAGCGCCGCGGCTGCCGGTTCTCGGCGCACCGGGACTCCCGAGAGCCTCCCGCCCGACCTCGGACACCCGCCCGCCGCCGGCCAGCGCCGCCGCCCCGGCACGACCCGGACGCCGGGCGGGGGCCGGGGTGGGCGAGCGGCCTGCGGGGGGCACGGCCGGGTCCCCGCCGCCGGACGGCAGCAACCGCCGCCCTCCCCCACCGCCGGCGGCCCTCCCTTCCGCGGCTTCTCCCGTCGCGGCTGGCCCAGCCCACGTTTTCCCTCTCTCCCCTCCCTCCGTGGTCATGTGTCGCCTTTTTTGTTTGCAGTGGAAACAATTTCTCGCTCTCGGGCTCGCACCGAGGCGGACCGCTGCCCGTCGGGAGTGCGGGGCGGGCGCGGGGCAGTCGGGCCCCATGCAGGCGGCGGAGCCCCGTGCGCCGGGACCCCCGCGGCACCCCCGGGGCTCGGGCTGAGGCGGGGGCGCGCCATGCCCGGCTCCGTCAGATGAAACTTTGTGCCACTGCCATGAAGGGACCGCGGTGAAACGGCCGCCCCCCGCCAGGTAAGTTGCCTCCGCTGTTGTTGTTGTTGTTGTTGGCGGGGGTTGCGCGGGGCGGTGCGGGCCGGCCGCGGACAGCGGCGCGGTGCAGTCCCGCCCGGCTCGGCCCGGCCCCGCGCCACAACTTGGTCGGGAGTTGGTGCGCGGCCCGGCGTGCGCGCCACCGTGACCCCGCCGAGCCCGGCCGTGCCCGCGCCGCGGGGCCGCGCCCGGCCCGAGCTCGTCCCGCCGGGTCTCGGCGGCGCCCGGGCCGGGACCTCGGGGCACGCGCGCGCACGTGCGGCGGGGCGCGCGGGGCCGCGCGGGCCGGTGACACCTGGCCGGCATTGGCGGGGTGCGCGGCGCGCGCCGCCCGGCCGGAGCAGTCCCGGTCGCCTGGCAACGCCATTGATTGGCTGCGGCCGCGGCCAATGGGCGGCCGCCCCCCCTCGCGGCGGGCGCGGTGGTTGCGCGGGCGGGGGGCCCGCCCCGGTGCGCCCCCCTCCGGCCGCGCCGCGCGCGCGTGCGGGGCGCGTCCGCCGGAGCCGCCGCGGGTTAAACGCGTTCGTCCGCCTGAAACGGGAGCTCGCCGTGACCGCCGCTCTTTTGTCTGCGATGGGGCGCCGCTGCAGCTGCCACGGGCCTCGCTGGCAGGCCCCCCCCTACACCCCCCCCCGTTGTGGCCTCAGTCGGGCCCCGCCGCCGCGGGGGCTGCCCCGGGCACCCCGCCCGCCCGCCCGCGGCGGCCCCGCTGCGAGCCGCTCTTGGGCCGGGCGCCGCCGGACTTCCCTGCCGGCTCTCCGTGCCGGCCCGAGGGGGCTCCGCGGGGCCGCGGCCGCCCGGTCACCCCCGCTGCCTGGAGCGGGGAGAGAGAGAGAGACAGGGAAAAAATCATGAAGTGATACGGCCCTTTGGGAGGATACTGGCAAATAAGGAAATTAAACAGAAAGAGAGCAGCGTGTTGTCATAGCAACAGTGCAATTAAATTACTTTACTGTCAGCCATCATATAATTTTCCTGTTTAGAAGCTCATGGGACGGAACTTCCATTTGGAATCAAAGTTAAGCGTGCGGCTTAGGTAGGCAATGCCCGTGCCCCTGGACGCTGGCGATTCCCCTGTTTACCTCTGGTTGCGCTGGATGCAGATTTGAAAACTAGGAAGTGGGGCCGACGCAAGTTCGGCCTCCTGGTGTTTACATCTGCATCGGTATTTTTTCCTTTTCCACATACTTACTCAAGTAAAACTGCACATTTTCACTGAAGATATTGAGTGTATTGATGTGCTTCCCTGCAGAAAAGTTCTATGTGTTTCATTTTTAATAATTATGTGCTTTGGTGTAACTTCATTATAGAAAGACACAAAGAACTTCAAAGTTTTTGGTTTTGCCCATTTATGACAGCTAAATTAAAGTCCATTATTTCTCTTTCCCATAATGGCTGCATTGCTCTGTTTGTCCCTGCAGACAGCCAGTTCATTCTGCTGTTACCTGTAGCTTTTTTTAGCTTTCATTTACGGTATTGACTCTGTGACTGCATGACTTCAGGTAACTGCTGGGGTTATGTTTTAGGTACAGGGAATCATTTTGTTCTTGTTCAGTGTTTGTGCAGAACGTTTTGTCCATTTAAATTCTGTTTTTAACTCTGTCCAGTTTTTGTTCCACTTCTGTTCACATCTCCAAGAGCTAATTCCTGGCAGTTTGACTGTTTGTAGAAGCTAAGGGAGCCTGTCTCCTGCTTCTGAAGTAGAATTGTTGGGCTTGTCTGCTTCTCTGGAATTGGGCAAGGGCCCAGCTTCGTTTTGCATCGGAAGTGCTCGGGACATTCCAAGTATTGGTGTCACAGGTGTCCCCCCAGGGCCTGCTGGTGCAGCACCCTCAGCAGCCCACCCCGCCTCTCACAGGCCACTGCTGAGCATCACAGCGGTCTTTCTGACTCTTGTTTTTTTCTATTGTGTTTGAAATAGGTTCAGCTTACGTTAAAATATTCTCTGTTTACATACGTTTTTAAAGTGCTCTATTGCTCTGGCACTTGCTTCCCCATTTTTTGGCCCTGGGCCCAAAAATACCGGGTGTTGCTTTCCCTCCTACTTTCTCCTGACCTTGCTGGTTTTTAAGTTACACTCTCATTTCTGAATTTTGGTGCAGCCAAGTCAGTATGGATGTTTGTCTGCCTATGCTTTTAGCCAGCATGATTTTAATCATGGTGCTGTTGTATTGTCCTCAGATGTGAAACAGCTGAAATTAATCTGAAGCAACTGGCCATAAGTCACTCTTATTATTTTTTAATTCACATCCTTATTAAAGTGATACAGTTGGGGTATTCAATGGTTTGAAAACACTGCTTCCTTTGATAATTTTATTCAACAGTTGTGGATGAGTGTTATGGGAAACTGTCACGTTTAATACAGATGGCAAAAGGCCAAGTGACCAGTTAGGGAAAAGCTGTCAAATTGTTGCACAGGAGCTTTTTATGAGCTAACTTTTCTCTCTTTCTCTCTTTTCTTTGGATTCACTCTCCCAGGAGCTGCTGTCTAAATGGGTCCAGTCATGCCTCCCAGTAAGAAGCCAGAGGGCTCAGGAATTAGTGTTCCCAGTGGATTGAGCCAGCGTTATCAAGATAGTGATTTATCAAAGGCACTTCATGATGACGAGGACCTAGATTTCTCCTTGCCTGCCATCAGATTAGATAAAGGGGCCATGGAAGATGAAGAACTAACTAATTTGAACTGGTTACATGAGAGCAAGAACTTGCTGAAAAGCTTTGGGGACTCGGTGTTAAGGAGTGTTAGCCCTGTCCAGGACATCGGTGATGACACGCCGCCGTCTCCTGCCCACTCTGACATGCCCTACGATGCCAAGCAGAACCCCAACTGCAAACCTCCCTATTCCTTTAGCTGCCTCATATTTATGGCCATTGAGGATTCGCCAACCAAAAGACTGCCTGTAAAGGATATATACAACTGGATTTTGGAACACTTTCCATATTTTGCAAATGCACCCACTGGATGGAAAAATTCTGTGCGACATAATCTGTCCTTGAATAAGTGTTTTAAGAAAGTGGACAAAGACCGAAGTCAGGTGAGTTTGAACTATGGGAATCTCTCTGGCTCTGAAAATATTCACCTGCTAATCCCCCAATATGTCCTTAACAATGGAGTATAGAATGTGATACCCTGTGCCTGGTAATGTAGTTGATTAAGTTCAGAGGGCCAGCATTTCTTTTGCATTGCTCATTCTGATTTTATTAAATTCATTGTCTAGACATCTGTAAGGAAGTGTTCAGTGTGTGTGTGTGTGTGTGTTTTTCCCCCCAGCTGGTGTCTTCATGCATAGTGGTTAAATATTGTTTTTAGTTATCATGCTGTGGTAATGGTTTCCAGCTATACTAGATGAATGTAATCATGTTATAAATAGGCTGCTTGCCGTTCTTGGCTTATACAAATGTATAGTGAAAGGGTATGCCTTATGTAAGAGTCTATTGCTATTGCCCTGGTCTGTGTTGTAATCCAAAAAACCATTTCTTTCTTTTATACGAGGAGGGTAATGGTGATGAAGCTTTGTTCCATTTCAGGAGAGTTTTAGAGAAACTCTTCAAAGAGCGGAGGCAGGTTTGGCATCAGAGGTGAAGGTTACCATTCACCAAAATCCCTGGTGTTCTTTGGGCTCATGTAACTTCTGCAGCTGGTGCAGAGCAGAAGCCCTGGGAGCACATCTTTGCCTTTGGATCTCAGTTGTTGTCTCTCGGCTTCACTGCTGATTCCCCATCAGGAAGAGGCTGTGTGCAAGGGAGTGGGAAAGTGAGCAGAGCAGTGTGGGCAGTCCCTTGCATAGCCTTCTACTCTGTCAGTCTGCCTGGGAGCAGGAATCAGTTTCCAAAGGGGACCTTCTCAAGAAGCAGTGGACTGGATGAATCTTTGGCAAAGTATGAGTATACTGATAAAAATAGCAGCTTGCAGATTAATTTCAGAGGCCTTCTCACAGGTTAAGGAAATAAATAGCAGGTAAAATCACATAACTCATGGTCTGTCTCTAAAATTGGCTGAAGATCAGAAAGTGAATGCTTCACCCTGGCAGAAACAATAGGTGCACTCAGCTTTTGTATTTCAGCGAGTTAAATGCTGTGATTGTCTTGTAACTTGTTACCCTGAAACTCGACTTCTCTTGGTGGTGCTGTTCTCCCTATTTTGTGTGCAATTTAACTTGAAAAGGTCTGGAATAGAAGCTCAAGTAACTCTAGAGGAAGTGTCATGCACTATCCCAAACTAGCAACTTTTCATTTTAGATAAGTTAACTTTCTTTTCTACAGAGCTTTCATTTTTAAAGGATTGACATGTCTATCTTTTTTTCTTTCTTTTTAAAAAGTATTGTTACCTAGAATCCACTGTCCCCATATTACTGATCACACACTGTATATTTGTATTCTTTATCAATTAACTGCTGTGAAAGCTCGTGTGTGAGATAAAAAAAAATATGTTCCTGAACTGGACCTTTTTTTGTGTAAGCCAAAGTCTTAAATTCTGGTTGGGAGGTGAGACTGTAATAACAATGCCACAACAGACTTTTACAGCCCTGTTGCAGACTGTATGAAATCTTCATACAGTGCATGTAAAAAAACACCAAAATAAGGTAACTGGCAAGGCATGTGTTTAACTCGGCCATTTGTGTTTTGTTCTGACCCTCTTCCTCTGTTTACAAGTTGACTGTTTAGACTTCAGCTTCCTTCCTATGAGGAACTTGTCTTCATGTCTATCTGTCAAATATCCGGCCATCCACTGAGCTCATCTGAACAATACCACGCTGCACTGCTGCTCCGTGGGGACGTGCTGCAGCACAATGCATGACTGGTCACCTGCCTCTCAAATTCCTCATTACAGCCATGCTTACAGTGCCAGACAGCAAGGTGGGATGGGAGGCCTTGCCTGTCTGAATCACAAGGTGGAGTTTTATTGATTCCAGGAAAGTCACAGATTTTGAGAAAGAATTTCTTCTACTTCCTGAAGATGCTAATAACTGCAGGTAGCCAGCTTTGAGGTGAATGAAAAGGGAATCTCAAACGTGAAATGCACCACAGCAGATCATTCAAGTCTCCTGCTGATTTTTTCTTGGTGTCCTGGCCAAGGGATGTGGCAGACAGAGTCCTGAGTGCAGAATTGGCCCTGGGTCAGAGTTGCTGAATCAGGTGCTTGACAGCTAATTGCGGACTTGGAAAGCAGTAAATGTCAACTGATGGCTTTGAAAATTCCTTCGTGTGTGTGCACACACACTTGGGCTTGGTTTGGTACCCTGCAGCAAATATCTCTGCTGTTCAGAATAAGGGTGTCCATCTAGGGGGTTCTCTGGTTTTGGTGTGGGGCTTGGGGCAGGGGAAAGGGGGGCTTTCATCTGTAAGGAATCATTTTATGCTACTTCTTGCAGACAGCTTTTGCAAATTGCATGGTTGGGGTCTGCCTGTTTTACTGGTTTTACATGGAAAAAACCAATATTTAGGAAATGGCATGTTATGAAATGCTAACAAGATGGGCTCTGAAACATATACAGTATGGGGAAAAGGAATTAGTGCTGGGAATTGCAGGCATTTGCTGGTTGATGTGCGTTGACACATTGTGAAAAGCTAGAAGCTTTTCCTCTCATAGTTGTGCTTTCCAGTGTTTGTTTATGTAGCCTTTCAGTAATCATTTTTCTAAAAAAAGTTCTGCTGAACACTTAATTCTTTTTTGAACTCCCTCTGCATAGTAGTTTTCTCAGTCTTGAGTTTCACTAGTTTATATTCATGGGGCTAAATATGAATCTGGTAGTCTGCAGCTTTTTCTGCCTGCATGTGAATGCTTGAATTTCCTGATGTGAGATCATTGTAATGGAGAGGGGAAAAAGAAAGGACAGGATTAATCACTTTTTTTTGACTTGCCCTGTCCTGGTGCTTTTAGGTTGGGTGTGGAATGTGGAAGAGAGGATTTGTTTTCACATTGCTGCTATTCCACATCAGCTGCAGTGCCATCAGGCTTACCTGGCAAACCAAAAGGCTGCCTGTTCATGGGACTGCAATGAGGCTGATCTGGATTGAGGCAGAGAGCTGGGCTGAAGAAGGGAAAATGCTGAGCCCTTGATTGTACAAACCTCTTTGCATTGAGCTCAGCAGTTTAATAATAGTTGGCCAGAGTATGAAGTTAGCACATGATGGGGAGTTGATGTGGAGTTCCCTGGCTTTGTTTATACTGCCAGACCTGTGAATTCGCTTGTTCAGATGAATCCCGTTGTGAACGTACAGATCTAAATGTCCTGTAGTCTGTGTCCCACTTAGTAGAGCCCGTTAGTCCATGACTTCCCTACCATCTGGTCCTTGGCTATAGAGAGGAATTTTTCTTGTATATGTGTCTCCATGGCAACGAGTTTGCAGTTGATATGGAAAGTAAGCAGTTGCCCTAGCAACGGAGTTACTGATGTGGCAGCTTCTCTGCTTGCAGGGAAAGGGCTAAGCTAGTTCAGCCCCATTATGTAGGTTTGCTGTGATTATAGCTATGCCCACTAGTGCTGCTCGAGCTAAGGGGAGGCTGAAAAATTTTGTTACAAGCCCTATTTCTGCCTCCCTTGAAAATCTGATTTATTCGTACAGGGATTCCTGCTTTGAGCAAAGGCTGGTAGGATTGTCTTTCCAGGGTGTGTGATGTGTGTGTGCCTTTTATGAATTCAAACTTCCTCAGTCATCGTTATCAGATGAGGGGAAATGATGTTTGACCTCGCTGGTTTCGCTGCAGTATTTTTGTCTCAGTGAACAGTCCACGGTTATAAAGGTTGGAGCTTTTGTCCCCATGTTTCTCTCTGCTATTCTGCTGGGTTTTCCCTCGTCTCTGCTTCTTTGGGCACCAGTCCTATCCTCTTTGTGTCTGCTCTGCATTGTCTGAGTTAGGGAAGCACACACATGCTGTGTGCATGCTGAAGAAATTCAAGTATCTGAAAGGTTTATTTGGCACTTATGCTGAGGGATGTCTTAATAAAAATGTAATGAGGGTAAAGGATATGTTTATGGGGATGGGAGAAGAAAATTCTCCTGGCTTGATGTGGAAGTTATTCTTAGAAGTATGTGGTCCATAACTGGGTCACGGAGATCCAGCCAGGCTCCTCCTCCGTCTGGAGCAGGCTCTGGGATCTGAGGACTCCTGAGTGGTCCTTGAGCTTTGCAAGAGCTGATGTCCAACCTGTCCCTGTCTGGTGCACTGTCTCTCATAAGTGCTCTGCCAGGGCATCTTGACAGGGGCCGTGGAAAACCCTTTGGGCACGGGAGACTTTTCAGGAGTGCCTCCTGCAAATGTCTTTCCTCTGATGTGATGATGTCTGGGCTTTTGACAGTTAAAATCCTGTGCAAAGATCAGTGCTAGCTGGAGTGAGAGGAGAAGGACCCTGCTTGTTCTTTGTTAGAATCTCCTGATCCAATCTGCATATGCACAAAGGTGAGGGAGACAGAACCCTGTCCTCCCTTTTTTAATGTTGCCGAGGTTTCCTGTGAAAGTTCAGTTTCACACTGGGGATAGGAAATCATCTCCTCTGTTTTTAATGTTATCACCTAGACTGATCCAAATAACAGATTTGTCAGAATTTCACTGCATTTATAACATCTGGGGAAGCTAAAGTGAAAAAATACCAAAAATCAAACCCAACAAAACGACCCCTTAGATTCATGTTAAAGGCTTTATGTGACATGGACTCCATCAAAAAATTATTAATTTCCTAAATAAACTGGTGCAACTGTTAATTTAATTATTAAAAGGATGTTTTGTGGTTTTAAACTAGTTTAACTTGAAATGCATTTTCTTATACTGTTGTCTGTCCTGAAAAAGCTCTCAAATATCAGAAATTTTCTCCTCAGATTTATGTGCAGAGAAACAAGGGTCATCTCTTTCTGGAAAAATCATAAAAATCCCTAAAACCATAATGTAAATGGAGTTGCATTAGATATTAGACAATTTATGGAGAACTTTTCTTGAACCCTTTTGGTTTTATTTTTGAATTGCAAACCCGAAAATTATACAGAATATTTAAATAATAGATTTCCTAAAGCTGTGCATGGAAGTAACACTCTTCAT